CCGTTATTTATCCGTTAATGATTCGTGAAAGAAAAAATTTAGTGGCTGTTGTTTTAATTTTTTTTTTAAACTTAGTTGTTCTGCTAAGTTGATATCATTTATCCGTAAATGATTCACTAAAAAAAAAAAATTAAGTTGCTCTAGCTTTAACCTTTTTTTTTTAATCATAGTTCTGCTAACATCAGGGCTGTGAACCACTCCGGAGCTTTTTTTTTTGATATTCGGTTCGATTCACGAAAAATTTATTTTGTGTGTTCGTGTTTTTTTATTCAACAGTGTGGGGGGTTTTCTGATCATATTAACATAGAGTTTATTTACTAAGGGAAATAAAAATGCGCCAATTTTTGTGGCTATGCAATGACTGCATCTTACTCAAACAATCTAATAATATATAACTATCATCTTCCAAAACTTTTCGCAGTATGCCCACATTAAAATTACATGATTAAAGCAAAGAGTATACTCTTTGCCTTAACTGGTAAACACTTTATAAATCATAAATCTAGTAACTTTACTTATAAGTCTTAATGTTATGGTACATATTTCAATGAAAATACATGGAAATAAATGTTGACTTTATTATTTCATTAAAAAAAATTTATTTTTTTGAACCCTGGTTCGAACCTGAACCCTGCTCCGGCTCATCATTGAACCGGTTCGCAAACCGGAACATTATCTGTCGAACCCATGCAAAAATAATATGGGTTCACAGCCCTGGCTAACATACATATGTACAACGCGGACGGTAGCAGAGCTCTGCTGACGTCGACATCAAATGTGTAAACTTCCCGCGAATTCTGCGTCCTTGGGGTTTATTAATTTCTGCAGTGAGTCTGAGTCCGTGTGTACATATGTATGTTAGCAGAACTATGATTAAAAAGAAAATGTTAAAACAAGAGCAACTATATTTTTTCTTTCACGAATAATTTACGGCAAAATAACGTAAAATTCCCATTAAAAAAGATTTTGGAAATTTCGCACTTTAGTGTGTGTGCTAAGTTGATATCAACTTAGCAGAACATCTCAAAATTTTAAAAATAATTGAGCGGCAAATTTTTTTTTTCTTTCACAAATAACACTGTGCAGCATTTTATACGCTTTTTAAATTTACCTCGATGGATGCTATATTTTTGGATTCGTTATAAATTCCCAAGTTAAACTGCGTTTTCCAAAAAATTCCCCGACGCAAGGATTTTTAGCACAAGTACCTCAAAGTTCGAAAAATGCTGAAATTGGCCAACTTTCCGGAGGTCTCCGAGGAAAACGGATTAATGGTTTGTTTTGATGTTAACGTTTTTTTAAATATACACTCTTTATCTTTCAAACCCCTTACTTAGAATAATATTAGGACTTTTTTTAAGGGATACATAAATTCTAGAAAACAGAGTGAAAAAATATAAAAGCATACAGCTGCAGTCAAAAATGTTGGTTTTTGGTTATATGCTAAACAGCTGCAAATAAGGTTTTATATTAAGGGGTTATATACCTTTTTAAAAAAAAAAAAAAAAGATTTTTTTTTTTGCTGAATCTTAAAGTATATCCCCTAGAGAACATCTTTCCAAATTTTCATACAGATCCGAATAATAGTTCGATAGGAAAACAGCGTTTTGACGCGCTCGACTTCAATAGTTGCATATACTCAACGTAAAACTTTGAATGCGATTATCTCAAAGTCGTGTTTTTCCAAAAGTGCCTTCGCTGTGACCACGATTGCGCAAGAACTATTTGATCGATCATCTTCAATTTTTTTTAAATTATTCGTAATGATTGTGCCGAGTTCGTGAACGATTCAGTTTTTATGCGCCAATTTTGATTTCGCAGATCAGAATTTTTTAATAAAATTTTTAGAACTCAAAAAATCAACTTTTTGGAAAAATTGTTACTGTATGCAGAAAAAGCAAATATTCTTAAAAATAATCGTTCACGAACTGGAAATAATACTATACTAACTACAAATTTTTGGTTTTTTGATATCAGTTGACCTGCTGGACTTCCATCGTGGTCACCGCAAGCCGCTATAAAAAAAAGAGTTCCTAAAGAATTGCCATAACTTCGAAAATGATTCATATTTTTTCAAGAACAAAGGCTTGTTGTTTCGATAAAAACATGTACTATCAGTAAATAATAACTTTACTGTCATAAAATAATTGCTACACACATGAAAAAAATCAAAATTTCCCTCAATTTTTTCGCTCAAAAAAGGTATATAACCCCTTAAATTGATAACAAAAAAACTTTGGTTTATATTTTTAAGATTTTTTTTTAAATGTTAATAATTTAATCTTCATAGAAAGTGTACTACCTAGTCCGACTCCGAATTCGAGTCACAGCTGTCGTCAGAGTATCCATCATTTGATTAAAGTTGGGACACATCTTCTGGAAGCTCTAAGTGTCTAATTTTTGGTTTTGGACAATTTTTTACTGTCTATCATAAGGGCTAGTGCTTGATCTGCTGAAACGCGTTTGGAAGTGCCATTAGAAAATTATTAAGCTTTCTTAATTATAGTCCCAGTGGACGCGGGAGTATTTGATAATTCCATTAATTTAGCTGAATCCCGTTTTCCTTCCACCCGCAAAGCCTGTTCTGTGGCTAATAGCAGTTGATCCTCATCTATCGTTGGCAACAATTCTTGGCTTTTCCTTTAATGTGTTTTAGGACAACACTTAGAAAAGGCTTTTTGTGCCCTTCCTCTTGTACTTGAGGTGGAAGCAATGACATCAATGCTATAGTCTTCGCCATTCAATGTGACGTGAAGCCAACTTGCATTATGACCAAGATACCTGGCTTTATCTCTCCTAAACTTAAAAGACAGTTTACTCATGTGTAGTTTCAATTTGGAGTGATCAATGTCATTGCCAAACACCATCACTGCGTGCCTTACAAGAATGCCTACGAATTATGTATTCTGGTTAGATAGAATACGATAGAATAATATAAGTTTTTTTCCACCAAAAAACAAAAACATGAAAAATTAAACTTACTTTTTGGTACTTTTAAAAAAAAAATTTTTTTTTTGGTAAAAAAAAAATGTTTTTTGTCTTTGAAAGTATATTAAAAATTTTTTATTTTGTTTTGAGCCTGTTTTTGTAATAGTTGAACATTTCTAAAAGTGCTGCTTAAAGCTCATCGACTTCAAAAATAGTTCAACTTTTGCTAAAAGTTCCCCTAGATTGGCAAAATCTTACACTGTGCGCCCTGTGTTTTTAAAAGTTTGTTGCTGTAGCTTCTCTTATACGATTAGTATAATAGCACAATTATAATCAATACAATATTACCAGGAGAAAATAAATTATAACAACAAACTCTTAAAAACACAAGGCAAGATCACTACTACAATTTTGACCACATCTGCATGTTTTTATACCCATTACTCGTAGAGTAAAAGGCTATATTATATTCGTGCAAAAGTATGTAACAGCTAGAAGGAAGCGTTTCCGACCCCATAAAATATATATATTCTTGATCAGGATCACTAGCCGAGTCGATCTAGCCATATCCGTCTGTCCGTCTGTCTGTCCGTATGAACGCAGAGATCTCGGAAACTACAAAAGCTAGAAGGTTGGGATTTCCTACACATATTCTTGGGCTTCCTAAGCAGCGCAAGTTTATTTTATCAAGGTGCCACGCCCCTCTAACGCCCACAAACCGCAAAAAGCCGTGGCGCCCACAGTTTTGTGTACAAACAGTACCAATTCCGTGCCATAGATGGGCGTGTTTTACACTCCTTCTGGTGCTGGAAAAAAGATGCCAAGCTGATAAACAAAAAATACGTAAATATTTTAGGAATATTTCAAATAAAATGTTCTTTTCTTTCTACACCAGTGGGTTGTAAGGGAAAAGGGGTCAAAAATAGTAAATAGTTTACGGCCCTAGCGGCCAAACCAAAAGGCTGCATTAAAAATTTGAGCATTAATCGCCATCAGTGGAAGATATTACGAACCAATTTCCGTCAATATCGAACTTTTAAAAATAGTTTCATTCTGTCCAGGACACTTTATTAGACATTGGTTGCTCGCAAGATTTTTTGAAATAATTACTTTTTGAAGCGAATTGTTATGAGCTTTCTCTTACCAAATATTTAATTGGTCCTCAATCTTGTGGTATTTAGCAACACTTCAAACATTTTTTTTGGGGGAAAAAAGTGGAGGGTACTATATGATAGCACAGGTCCTTACTTTTTTTATGTTTCTGCAGGCTGGTATGTCGTGGTACTTAGCAAAACTTCAAACATTCATTATACCCTTGCAGAGGGTATTATGATTTCAGTCAGAAGTTTGCGACGCAGTGAAGGAGACGTTTCCGACCCCATAAAGTATATATATTCTTGATCAGCATCACTAGACGAGTCGATCTAGCCATGTCCGTCTGTCCAGTTTTCAAGCTATCGGGATAAAACTTTCCCAAAAGTCTTCTTTCTATTGCAGGTAGTATATAAGTCGGAACGAGCCGGATCGGACAACTATATCATATAGCTCTCATAGGAACAATCGGGAAAAAAGAAAATGTAAAAAAATTATATCTTGGGTGTTTTTGAACCTATAACATCCTACTTTTGGAAATGTCATTTTTTATCTAATTCTGAATTTCGAATAAAATTTTTTCAAAATCGGACGACTATATCATATAGCTGCCATAGGATCGATCGGAAAATTAATGGGAATATAATAGGAAATAAATTATTGCTTCGTTGGTTTTTATTGTATTCTCTTCTACTCTAGGATATAACTCTTTTCAAATATGTTCGAATTTCGATTTTAATTTTATCAAAATCGAACTACTATATCATATAGCTGCCATTGAAACGAACGCAAAGTTAATGAGAAATAATAGGAAAATTAACATTTTTGCGATTTGTAAATTAATAGGAATTATCTGCAAGGGTATATAAGCTTCGGCTGGCCGAAGCTAGCTTCCTTTCTTGTTTTTGTCTGATCTTAACTGGCTGAATACGCGAAGTATGGAAAACATAATAATTTATATTCTATTTATTTATTTATAGGAGCCTGTGAAATTTATAGCCTGCCACGCTTTCCATCAACTCCTCAGTTTTTCGCAGTTCCATTGGCTGCTAATGATGAAAATGCATCCACATATGCGTTTGTAGGTCCTGCTAGATATTCATGGAAAGAAGAGGATATTTTATATGTGGGAACCACATTTACTAACGTTGGTGACTATCGCCATGATGTGCCAGCTATTTCTTCCCGTCGGCTAGATGATTTAAACTACGCAGAGTTCTCAATACAGCAGTCTATTATAAATATCGATGTCAAATATCGGGATCATTTTTTGGTTGATTATGTTTATGGCTTTAATTCTTCTGAATATGCATACTTCATTATAGTTCAAAAAAAATCGCATTTAGCTGATGAAGCGGGTTATGTAACCCGTTTGGCACGTATATGTATCACAGATCCCAATTATGACAGTTATACTGAAATAACAGTTCAATGTACGGCAACTGAAAACCATGTTGACTACAATATACTACGCGATGCTAAAGTAACGCCGGCAAGCCAAAAATTAGCTCAGAAAATGGGCATAAAAAAAGATGATCATGTGTTAGTAACTGTTTTTTCGCCTTCGAAAGAGATAAGCGATCAACCAGAAAGCAAATCGGCTATGTGCATTTATAGCATAAAAGATATTGAAGACATGTTTATTGAAAATATTCATCTGTGCTTTAATGGAACCATAAAGGATCGAAATTTGGGTTACATTTCCGGCACTATTAATGATGGCCGATGCCCTATAGTTGGCTCGCTCGGTAACATTTACAACTTCTGTTCTGTAGGACTTAAGATAAGCGGAGTATCTCCCATAACTTCACATGCTCTCTTTCATTTTGATAATGTCTCCGTTACGTCAGTGACTGCAACTTCAACAACTGATCAACAGCATTCTCTTGCTTTTCTTGGAACAGACATGGGAATAATCAAAAAAGTACTATTATCTGGTCAAAGCCCAGGAGAGTACGAAGAAATAGTTGTGGATGCTGGAAATCGTATTCTACCGAATACTATGATGTCGCCCAAAAAAGATTTCCTTTACGTTCTATCTCAACGTAAAATAACTAAGCTGAGAATTGAGCACTGCTCTGTGTACACAAATTGTTCAGCTTGCTTGGAGTCTCGAGATCCCTTTTGTGGATGGTGTTCTTTGGAAAAACGGTGCACAGTTCGGTCAACTTGTCAGCGAGATACATCAGCATCACGATGGCTTTCACTGGGCAGTGGTCAGCAGTGCATTGAGTTCGAATCAATTATCCCAGAGAAAATACCAATTACTGAGCTAGCTCAACTGCATTTAATAATTCGAACATTGCCGGAACCCTTTAATGCAAAGTACCGATGTGTCTTCGGAAACTCTACTCCCATTGATGCTGAGATTCTGGACAATGGACTTGGTTGTGCCACGCCCCCTCTAGATGAAAGACCAGTAATACCAACTAATACTGATCATGTTTTGGTGCCCTTGTCAGTACGAAGCTCAGAGACAAATAAGGACTTTGTATCAAGATATTTTGCATTTTTTGACTGTTCGCATCATGGCAATTGTCAGGAATGTCTGCACAGTTCATGGGGCTGCAACTGGTGCATTTTTGACAATAAGTGTGTCCACAAATCATTGCAATGTCGTAATGTAGAAACTGCTGTAAGTACGGTTGGTCAATGCCCACATTTGAAAAAAAATCGACCGGCGATTCTTTTACCGGTGCGGGTGCCGAAAGAAATTCGGCTTGAGATTGAAAACTTACCAAAACCCAAAAGCGCTCACGCCGGTTTTTTATGTACAATACATATTGAAGCCGCTCAGATGTTATTGCCTGCGCACATTGAGTCGAACAAGATAGTTGTGTGTGAAAAAACACCGTATTTCTACGAAACTAATACACATGAATATAAGGCAAAAGTTGTAGTTACATGGAATTTCCAGCACTATGTCGACACTGCAGTTGTTACATTATACAAGTGCGACGTACTGGGCTCACATAGGGATCATGCTGATTGCAGTTTGTGTGTCACTCGTGATCCAAAATATCAATGTGCCTGGTGCAGGAACTCATGCGTATATAATGAGACTTGCCTAGCAGACAATGATCGTTCTATCAGCGCAGGATCTAAAACAGCTATAGAAAACGAGTGCCCTCTACCAAGGATCGATATTATTAAACCGTTATCTGGACCTATTGAGGGTGGTACTCTTATTACAATCGAAGGCAGTAATTTGGGTATTCGCGAAGAAGATGTGCGTGGGAAAATATTTATCGGATCTGTGCCTTGTGAACTAGTGAACTACCAAATATCCGTAAAGATTGAATGCCGCACTGGAGCTGTGATGTATGAAATGTCAGCACCGATAAAAGTGGCAAATGATGCAGGGTATACTGAATCTAGTGTACAGTTTCATTTTAAAAATGTGTTGTTAACAGGATTATATCCCACTATCGGACCCAGGTCGGGGGGCACACAGTTGTCCTTAATAGGAAAGTTTTTGAACATTGGATCAAGTATGCGTGCATTTTTAGATGAGTATGAGTGTCACATAAATGTTACACAAGCTTCGTCATCCCAAGTTAGTTGTACTACATCAGAGGCGACCCAGCCAGAACCAATTCGGTCCCTCCACCTGGTTATTGATGGTGCCAACCGAACATTAGAATGCCTAATATCAGCAACAAGCACGGCCAGTAAAAATCCGACCCGAAATAATTTTTCTTCTTATCAATTCCGTACTCCACCACGGCAGCCCTGTTCCATTTTTAACTATACCCAGGACCCGCGAATAATGCAAATCAAGCCTCTACGCAGTTTTGTAAGTGGTGGTCGCGTCCTGACTGTTCATGGAATATATCTTGATTCAATTCAAAAACCTGAGCTTGAGGTTTTTTTTGACAACGAAAGAGTAAACAAAACGTCTTGCATTGTAATTAATTCAAATCAAATGGAATGCCCATCTCCTCCAGTAAATCATAAATTTCAGACTTTTAAAAATACCAACAGAATACTGAATTCGGAATTTGGCTTTAAAAATTCTTCTCAAATAACTGAAAGTGGGCTTCAAAATGAATTGGTTAGGGAGAAACGAAGGGCAAACTTAGTGGACAACTTTCATATATACACTACAGGAGGAACTGCGTCTAGCTATTTCGTCAATAATAATATGGATGTCACAACTTTTGTAAAGGTCCATGAAACTCAACTAAATTTACAACTTAGTTTTGTAATGGATAATGTACCGCTTGTTCGAGACTTGAATAAATATTTTCATGATATAAGGAGCACTATTGTTTATTTAGCCGATCCCAAATATTTGCCATTTCCAAACGACGGCATTAAACTCTATAAGGGTGATAGCTTGGTAATCGAAGGCGAGCTTCTAAATTTGGCAGCTGATGAATACGACGTTAATGTAACCATTGGTACTACTCAATGCAATATTACCAGCCTCGCACTAACTCAACTTTTGTGCATTCCCCCGGAGCAACAACCACTGCCAACTGACGAAAATGGTGTTGATCAATCGACGGATTTACCGCTAGTTGTGGTTAAAGTAGGAAGAAATCTACGGTTCGTTATAGGATATCTGAAATATGACTTGAATAAACCCTATGTTTTTTCTCATGCCTTGTTTGTCGTTATGTTAACAGTGGCAGTAGTTGTCATTGTTTTGGTTATTGTACTAATAATATTCAGGAGGAGATCAACACAGGCAGAACGAGAGTACAAACGCATTCAGATTCAAATGATTACCTTGGAAAGCAACGTACGTTCCGAGTGTAAACAAGCATTTGCTGAGCTTCAAACAGACATGACCGATCTAACAGCGGACTTGGAGAGCACCGGTATACCTACGTTAGATCATGTTAACTATATTATGAAGGTGTTCTTTCCTGGAGTATCAGATCATCCTATTCTAAATTCCCCGAAATATCGTGGAAGTAACCAACACACTAACTATGATGCAGCCATGATGCAATTTGAGCAACTGATTGGTAACAAATATTTTTTGCTAATGTTCATAGAAACTTTAGAGGCTCAACGATCGTCTTTCTCAATTCGCGATCGTGTTAACGTCGCCTCATTGCTTATGATTGTGCTAATGAACAAAATGGAATATGCAACGGAAATTTTGAAGTCTCTTTTATTACGATTAATTGATAAATCGCTTGCTAGCAAGCATCCTCAGCTAATGCTACGACGCACTGAAAGCGTAGTTGAAAAAATGTTAACCAACTACTTAGCAATTTGTATGTACGATTACCTAAAAGAATACGCTGGATCGAATTTATTTTTGCTATTTAAGGCAATTAAACATCAAATTGAAAAGGGTTTGGTAGATGCAATAACCAACGATGCTCGTTACTCACTTTCGGAAGAACGTCTTTTGCACGAACAAGTTACACATTCTGTTGTAATATTGCACATTTTACAAGACGATCTTGATGAAAAAGTCCAATGTCGCGTAAACGATTGGGATACTATTTCCCAAGTCAAGTTGAAAATCCTCGACGCAATTTTTAAAAATACCCCGTTTTCAATGAGACCATCTGTACACGAAGTTGACCTGGAATGGAGGCATGGACGAGGAGGACATCTCACATTACAGGATGAAGACCTAACCACAAAAACAATTAACGGATGGAAACGCCTTAACACATTGGCTCATTATGGAGTAAAAGAATCAGCTGTAATGTCACTAATAGCTAGGCAAAATGATAACTACCATATACCCTATGGGAAAACCCAAAATCCGGCACCTTACCACAATTGTAAGTTTTAAACTTAAATAATAATTTGTTCATAACACAGGTACACAGCCAAAAATTTCCACGAACCATTTCAAGTTTTCCATGATATTTGGGTGCTCCTGAGTAAAAGTCCCATACAAAATTATTTTCCATCACCTACAGGTTCCGCGGTATAGCTAAGAATACAAAAAACCGATGTTTGCCGACATTTTGAATTACGTGGCCTATATAATTGGACTAACCTTTATTATTATCGGTAGGACCTATTCTCAATACATCACGGCATTCCTAAAAAATAGTCCCCATTGTGAACCATTGCCCATGTCTTTGGAATTCGACGCCAAAGTTGAAAATCCCAAAATTGTAGAGATTTTTCAGATGGAAAAACAATTCTGAGGATTAAATCTTGAATGGAAGTAATTTTGACTATTCATTGTATCTATTGTTCATTGTATGCTTTAATTTCGGTTTAAAGCGTTTTCATGAGGACATTTTATTGGATTTCTTATACTAATAAAACCGTTTTTTTTATTTCATTATCTACTCCTAAATGTTGTCAAATTTTAAAAAAGTCAAGGCATCCTACAGAATGGGAGTAAACATTTACATTTTTCTATGTATATTCAGTGAACGTATTTTAGTTTCTTAGTTCTAGAGGTTGCCATGACTTATTCTAAATTTGACAACATTTAGGTGTAGATAATGAAATAAAAAAATCGGTTTTATTAGTATAAGAAATCCAATAAAATGTCCTCATGAAAACGCTTTAAACCGAAATTAAAGCATACAATGAACAATAGATACAATGAATAGTTAAAATTACTTCCATTCAAGATTTAATCCTCAGAATTGTTTTTCCATCAGAAAAATCTCTACAATTTTGGGATTTTCAACTTTGGCGTCGAATTCCAAAGACATGGGCAATGGTTTACAATGGAAACTATTTTTTAGGAATGCCGTGATGTATTGAGAATAGGTTCTACCGAAAATAATATAGGTTAGTCCAATTATATAGGCCATGTAATTCAAAATGTCGGCAAACATCGGTTTTTTGTATTCTTAGCTATACCGCGAAACCTGTAGGTGATGGAAAACAATTTTGTATGGGACTTTTACTCAGGAGCACCCAAATATCATGGAAAACTTGAAATGGTTCGTGGAAATTTCACAAAGTTTAATTTTGTGTTCCTGTGTAATTAATAATTTGTTCATAATTATTAATTTGCTTTTATTGCAGTTTATTTTATAAATAATTCGCAAAGCCATATTATAATTAATAATGACATCGAGTCAGGACTGCAGCAGCCTCGACTTTACCATCTTATCAAGCCCATTATACCTGATCATTATATGAACATTAAAAACTCCGTCTTATCTGGAGCGTCACCAGCAATGCCATCATCGCATTTGGTAAACAGTTGTAACGAGAGGGTCAACAAAACGATACCAGAAGTCTATTTAACACGTCTTTTGGCCACTAAAGGAACTATACAAAAATTTGTGGACGATTTCTTCTCAATTATTTTAACTGTTAATGAGGAGTTACCACCTGCAGTGAAATGGCTTTTTGATTTACTAGATGAAGCTGCGCGACGTCATGATATTGCTGATACTGATATTGTACACGCTTGGAAATCAAATTGTTTGCCCCTTCGATTTTGGGTTAATTTTATAAAAAATCCAGATTTTATATTTGACGTCAACAAAACTTTTTGTGTGGATTCCTGTTTAAGTGTCATCGCGCAAACTTTTATGGATGCTTGTTCAACATCGGAACACAGGCTTGGAAAAGATTCTCCATCAAATAAGTTGCTTTTTGCGAAAGTAAGTATAAAGTAAACATTAATTTTTATTGTTATTTAAAATAAGTGCACACGTTACATCCTCATTTTGTAAGATATATTTCTATAGTTATTGAGGCCAGACCTCTCAAACCTTTTTATTTTGAAATAAACAATTGAAGGAAACTATATATATTCTTGATCAGGATCACTAGCCGAGTCGATCTAGCCATGTCCGTCTCTGTTCGTCTGTCTGTCTGTATGAACGCTGAAATCTCGGAAACTATAAAAGCTAGAAGATTGACATCTGGCATGCAGATTCTAGGAGTTCCTACGCAGCGAAAGTTTGTTTCACGCCCCCTCTAACGCCCACAATCGCTTGTATACGATTTTAAAAATTTCAATATTTTGGAAAAGTAAAAATGCAGTATAGTGTTTATCAATACCTATCGAAATGTAGAAGAAATTTTTTAAATCGGACCATTCGTTAAAAAGTTACGGCGGATCAAAGTTTTTATCTCCATCTCCTTCGCACTCCCTTTAGCTGAGTAACGGGTATCTGATAGTCGGGGCACCCGACTATAGCGTTCTCTCTTGTTATACCCTTGCAGAGGGTATTATGATTTCAGTCAGAAGTTTGCAACGCAGTGAAGGAGACGTTTCCGACCCCATAAAGTATATATATTCTTGATCAGCATCACAAGACGAGTCGATCTAGCCATGTCCGTCTGTCTGTCCGTCTGTCCGTCTGTCTGTATCTACGCAAACTAATCTCTCAGTTTTTGAGCTATCGGGACGAAACTTTCGCAAAAGTCTTCTTTCTATTGCAGGTAGTATATATGTCGGAACCGACCGGATCGGACAACTATATCTTATAGCTCCAATAGGAAGGATCGGAAAAAAAAACTTTAACAAATTCTAGCTTCGGTGTTTTTTGAAATATTACCTTCTACTTTTGGGGCTGTTATTTTTTAAATATTTCTGAATTATTTATTTAAAAAATCGGACTACTATATCATATAGCTGCCATAGGAACGATCGGAAAATTAATGGAAAAGTAATAGGAAATAAATTCTAGCTTCTTTGGTTTTAATTGTATTATCTTCTACTCTAGGATATGACTCTTTTTAAATATTTCCGAATTTCAATTTTAATTTGATCAAAATCGGACGACTATATCATATAGCTGCCATAGGAACGATCGGAAAATTAATGAGAAATATTAGAAAACTAGCAGGGTCTGTAGCCTGCAGCTTCGCCTGCGGAAATTAAAATTGAAAATTAAGCATTGCTTTATCTTTGGTACTTATTTTAAATTTAAAAAATTCCTAATTTTTATTCTATAAACCGAAAAAAGATTTTATCAGAACTTTTTCCCTTGATATCCGTAAAAACAAAAATATTTTGTCCTCTGAAAACTACTTAAAAAAACATGTGTTTTTTTAAATCTTTTTAAAATTATTATGGATTGTTTGCATAAGTTAACAGATGGACAAAACAGAAACAAACAGATTCCTTTTTCGACACAAATCCTTACACTAATTTCATTCAAAACATCAGTATTTTGTCCAAAACATATTATTTAAATATAGAATGTCATACTGCGTTGAGCATGTAATTACATTCCCAATCCATTGCCATTAAAGCCTAGAACCATTATTTGAAAAAAAATTTCTTTAAGAAAAAAATAGATGGGATACGAATTTGATTAAATTTACATGTTAAAAATATATAACTTTTTTTTTCAATTTCGGAGAGTTTTGACTATTGCTGTCTCGTTCTTACCCATATAAATTTATGCCTTTTTTTGTATGAATTAAGAGTGCAAAAATATGAATTTCAAAGCAGTATTTTATCGAAAACAAAGCAAAAAACTGCCAAAATATGGATTATCACGCCGCGTTAAGTTTGTAATTCAATTCCAAATCGATTAGCGTTTAACGCTGGAAAAAAAACTTGTATTCTTAAAAAAAATTGCTAAAAGTTTTACATAGCTCTCCAACAACCAATATAATAATTTTGATTAAGATTTAAAAAATTTGAGGGAATATTTGTAATTTAAGTTCGTCTTGAAATGTTACAACCGCTTCAAAATGTGATAAGATGTTTATCCTTCGACAGTTAAAAAAAAATTAATGTCTCCAATTCTTATTTTAAAAAAATGAATGCCAGAGATAGGATAATTTTAGGCTTACTTTTATTTCATCGGTCCCTTAAAACAAATCCTGTTGATATTGGCCTTACTACCTCGTTCTATATTTTCTATTTATATTTTCTATTTATATTTTCTATTTCTATTTCTTGTTTTTTAAAGATGCAATTTTTAAACTATTTAAACCGAGTTATGTTTGTAAAGATGTTAATTCTTGATAACACTGTGCAGTATTTTTAGTGCTTTTTAAATTTACCTCAATGGATGCTATATTTTTGGATTCGTTACGAATTTCCAAGTTAAACTGCGTGATCCAAAAAGTTCCCCGACGCAAGGATTCTTAGCAAAAGGACCTCAAAGTTCAAAAAATGCAGAGATTGGCCAACTTTGCTTTATGTATTTGACTAATTTAAGAAAAGACATCAAGAAAGGCAATTCCAAATTACTGCATTTCACCATTGATATTTTGTTTCAGTATTTTTGTTTTCACATTAATTTTTCACCTTGATTAGAACTATATTAATAATAAGGAAGGCAAATGGGCGGGGAAGCCGTGAATCAAATTGTTTAAACATTTGAATTTGTTTAAACAATATGAGGCACGTGTAATAAAGAGCAAGAGAATCAATTGGTATGGATATTTAATGTTCTTTTAATATTATCAATGCGATTTGAATTTTAGTTCACAAAAATCGGTTACAAAATTTCTTATGTAAGTATGTTGTGGAAATGTAAATGAAATATTCTTTTAGCAAAAGGATATCAGTATTATCTTGAATTTGAATTTGAAAAATTGAACTTAATGGGATTTCTGTAAGGTCTACCGATATTTTAAAATTTAACGTTTACTGAAGAAAAAGGCGCAAAAGAAAAGATTTGCGATGTAATCGATTTTTTTTGGCTGTGGTATTTTCATTTTCCCCTTGCGCGGTCACACTTAAATTGCGACAGCCGGACATACATATGTACATTAGGGTGGACTTCTTTAAGGTCAACTGAGCTCAGCATCTTAAATGGTAGGTTTCTGTGTCCAATAAATTTATGCGAAAACAGAAAAATTTTATTTCATCGTTTAGGCGGTGCGCAATGGCCCTAAAGTTTCGCTGAAAATTAAGTGTAAAACTAGGAATTTACCCCATTCCATTTCTTGTCAAATTTTAACATGTCAACTTTTTGGTTTCGCTCGAATAAAAGAGTCAAGTAGAAATTTATTTCATGAATATTAACAGTTGGACGTAGCCTAGCTAGTAGAGCTTCTGTCTCCGAACAAAAAAAACCGAGTTCGATCCCCGACTCATCATTTTTTTTTGTGACTCACAATAAAATAGAGATTCTATTTTACAATTTTGAAGATTAACTATCACTTTTGCGTTCGCCAATACAAATCTTCGTCAAAGAAGAAAGCCAGCATTTAGGATACAACAATATTGACTCTTATTTTTCAGAGACCGTAATATTTATAAGTTTTACTCTAAAAGTCCTTGATTATTCGTTATTATTGTTATTTTTAAGTTGTAATTGTCTCCCAGGGACTCGAATTTTATCAACGACTACATCCCTTGTTAAAAAGCTCGGGAAAGTGATTAAGATACTTTTTAAAATACTGTCAAAGTATAAAATTAAGTCTACGGCATCTAGATGAATCTGAAATATGCGTAATAAACTTTAAAGCCGTTGCGCACCGCCTAAAACTAATTATTTTTTACTTTTTCTTTCTTTAATGGATTAAGGATACAAAAATGCTATATATGAAGGGGTGAGAGCATGGCCTTAGAAATTTCATACAAATTAAGTCCACCCTAATGTACATACATACATGCGCCAGCAGAACATACATGCAAACATATGGGGACGCGTGACGTCACATCAGGTTAGCCAAATTTGAAAATATTGGGGACTTGGTTAAGGATGCTGAATCTCCAAGAAATTTAAATGCAGTTATTTGCGGGTATGCCATAAGATTATGAACATCACATTTTTAAACCATTTTAACAACATTTATAACAGAGAAATGGCAAAAGAAAGAATTAAAAAAAAAAAACAAATCGAACTTTGGGGCACTTTGGGGTCGTTTTTTGTTCTAAAAAGTACCCCTTACTCCTAATTATTTTAGTAATTACTGTGATTTTTCTAGATTTTTAGGTCAATCCGTTCGGGTGGAATTTGCTACTGACCGTTTTTTAATCAAGACAAATATTGATATAGATTGAACATTTTTGCGATTTGTTAATTAATAGGAATGATCTGCAAGGGTATATAAGCTTCGGCTGGCCGAAGCTAGCTTTCTTTCATGTTTTTTGGATACTTTTAATGCTATTTGCATTTTAAAGCACAAAAATCTATTAGAAAATGTCTTCGATCTGTTTTAGAAATGTAAATGCAATTTTTTTTATGCAAAAGGGTATCAGTATTATCATTAATTTGAATTTAAGCGAATCTAACTTTCTTAGTCAGCTGCAATGCAGACACACGCACATAGCTGGGGATTGTGTTTATAAAAACTAATTTTGTGGCTTATATATATTTCGTCCATGTGTGTGTGTGCAACGGAGCGAATTAATGTTTTTTAAAAATCATCAATTTGTCAATATCTCAACGTTTGAAAACTAATAAATAGTTTGCTGATCAGTTTTTTTTGCATTATAAAAATAAAAGGAATTTCAAAGAAAATTTCGACTGTAAAATTCATCTTAATGGGATTTGTGTAAGGTCTACCGATATTTTAAAATTTAACGTTTACTTAAGAAAAAGGTGCAAAAAAAAAGATTTGCGATATAATAAATTTTTGGGGCATTTTTTGGGTCGTTTTTTGTTTTAATCAGGGACCGTAAATAACACAGGTCGACAAAATCAAGACTTTTTCTTGGCCCAAGAATAAACGCTACAAAACC